CCTGCGTTTACCGGTTTTTGAGTTTGACAATTGCCAGACTTGGGGCGGAGCCTAGATTTGAATCAGGCAATTTGTGGTAGTACAGTGCATAGACAGCGGATGGACCAAATCCACACCACCACTGGATTTTTGGATACTGGGAGAGACCCCAAATCCTTTACCGAGGATGGATGACAGTGGATGAGCACTGCATGGGATAAACCGCTTCGGGATGTTATCCATAGTTGGTGGTTGGTTCATTCCAGTATTAAATGACTTTTATCCATCCCAACTGATGCATGTTTTTCCATCCGCAGTATGGCCCCAAACTTGTACCAACAGGTTTTGGCAGGAGCACAATCTTGTTTGATACCCTAGATTGACAGTCCCCCCCCTCTGTGGACAATGACTGGACCGCATGTATACATGTGCACCCCCCTCTTCAAGGGGGATTTTTATAGTTGTGGGAAACCATGCGCCATGGCCATAAGACTTGCTTGCAATGTGCTTACCTTGCTTGTCGGTTCCCAGGCATTCCCTTAGACTTTCAGAGTTTAGGCATGGTCATAACGCGTGCAATGGGTCAAAAGACCGCTTTACTTGGGGTTAGCAGGGATGGTCATCCTGGTAAGAATCCTTAGCCATTGTAATGATTCCTGTGGTGGACGCAAAGCCCACCTAAATGATGTCCACCAGAGGGTCCCCAATCAAAATTCATGCCCGTATAAGGAGTCTTGGCCATGGCTCACACATCCCTCTAAGCAAGAGATCAACTCCCATGCTTTCTCTTGGATCAAGGACCAAGACACCAGCCCCGTTTGAGGGCCGCTCCCACGGAGGTTGAATAAACCTTTAGGGGAAGACTTCGCAGATCAGTCTCATAAAAAAGAAAAGGTTCAGCAAGTTCTACCACCCAATGCATTTCCTGTGGATTTACCTGTGCAATTTCCTGTGGTTGATTTCTTAATTGCATGGATTACCACCCCACTGAAGATATTAACCACTCAAGTGTGGTGGCCATCCAAGTGGTAGCTGTAAGCGGGTTAGACAAGTTGAAATCGGCCAGGAGAAGTACCGTCCCAAGCTTCCGGAGGACCACGTTGAACACGGGTTCCGGGTGAAAGGATCGATGTGCTGCAGGCCACAAGCGCCGAAGCCCAAGAAAGATGTGGTGCCCACATGCGAAACAACGGACGGAACCCCAGAAGGTCCTACAAGAAGCTTCCTCTAAAGATGTTGGTGCCATGCCAATCTGGAGTGTAAATGGTCGGGTTGGTTCACACGCCAAGTATTCCTTGGATCTTGGTCGAATCTTTTGGAAGCTAGCTTGATTCTTCATGGACCCTAAAACGGTGAGGTGTTCTTGCTAGAGGAGGGGAGACCACAGACAATGGCTGCATAGTGGCTGTGAGATCTAGGTGCTTTTGTGATCTCACTGCTTCCAGGCGTGTCTTATGGGGGGCAAGGGCAAAGTTCGCGCCTGGCCAACCAACTTGGGCTTCGCCCGCCCTGAAAGGAGGGATGCACGTGCCAGTTGCCCGAGGCATGTGACCTTCGTACCTCGGAAGAGCCTTGACAGGTCTGGGCCAAAGGCCCATCCCGATATTTTTATCCAAGAAAGCCAAGGGTTCTGGAAACTGGGGAGCCATTTGCAGCAGAAGTCAGCATCACGGTTGCAAACTGCCGATACCTAATTATTGACAATCGTCTATTTGTGCATATATGGTCAAACGGCACGGTAATTGTTCTGTTAAGTACGAGTACCTACAGTACTGTATTGTGGGTCAAGCGGTATAGCATTTCAAGGTAAAAGTGTGGCTCTGTAGGATTATACCCAATTCTTAGGTTGCGAATTTCTTGAGGGGCACTAGCTGAGCATATTTGTTGCGGGCCCACGTACATCGTCATGTGTTTTGCTCGTTTCGCATATTTGGCCGTATGAAAACTGCATCAATATTGATTGATGAACGGTTTCGCAGTTTACCCTTGACAAGCCGTACCACTTTCCGGGTACACCACCCATGTGTTTTTGTTGGTTTCCATGGGTCAAACAATTCCGTTGGTGCAGCGAGCGAGGAGTTCTGGCAGCAGCACGGGCCTTCACCGCACTGTGTGATCATGGCGCCCAACGAGCCAATTCTTTGGCCCTGACGGCGACGCCACGCAAGTTGCGAGCTTCAAGAGCCCAGCCTAGCTGAAGGTTGCTCGATCCCTGCTTTGTTATCTCTGGAGGGGCTTCTGAGGATTTTCCAGAGACGTTTGGGGTAAAAGATGGTAAGCGGTATGATCAACGTCAGTCAAAAACTGGTCGATGAAGTGTCTTTTGACTTGTCAGGGGCCAGTTTCTACTTGCGTCGATCGGGTGAGGAGCAACCCGAGTCTCTTGTAAGGCCACATCGCGTGCGCCGGACCGCAAGGCGCCTTCACACGCGTCAGAAGCGCGCGCGAGGGCCCGCTTCTTGAAGAATCAGTCGGAGGTCACCCAAAAAGGGCCGACAGTGACAAGCAATCAGCTTGAACTGTGTGATCACTCAGAGGACAACTCGATTTCAAGAGGGTACTAAGCCCTTTGCATCTTCAGGTGGGAACACAAGTAGACTGGTGAGGTCCACATGTTCGCAGCACTGATCTCTGCGCATGGTCCTTCGGCCAGTGATCAGGATAGACTCGCGCCGTAAGGGAACAAAATCAGCCTCTCTCGCCCGGTGGTTTGGAGGTCAGGGGTAAATCCCCTCTACAAAGGCCGGGGTTATGTCCAAATTCAAAGCAGCACTCCAAACCACTCAGGGTTACTTGATGCCATGCAGGCTGCTGACAAGTAAATATGTGGATGGCGGATCGGAGGTAGTGTATTATTCCTATCTGAACCGCCCGGTAAGAGTGTTTAAGGTTGTCTGCGCTGGCCGGGCCAGGCGCGGTCAACTCCAAGTGGTATCAAGTACCAGTTGACCTATTCTGGGATCCAGGTGGTCAATGGCCCACTTCGTTTTGCCAGTCTCAGCTCGCTGAAATGGCACCCAATGATTTCCACAGTACAGAAGGCTAGGCTGGTCCATCACGTCTTACAGTGTGTTTCCTGGTGCACCAGATGGAACTTGAAGATTTTGAAATCGGTTCCACGGAAAAAATGGCTTTAAGAGGGGGGATCTGTTTTTTGTTTTTCTTGTTCTGTTAGATCTCCAACTATGCAAAACGGACACGCAGAGTGGTGCCGTTGTTGTTTTTTGGAAGTGTTCGAGAGCGGTCTTCGGCCCCCTTTGAGACCAACCACTGGAGGTCCGGGGTTTCGGTCAGCCTCCTTGTTGCTTTTATATAGGGGGTCCCTTCCTTATTTTGGGGGCCTTCTCCGCAATATGTTCTATTTTGGGGTAGGCTATGAAACAGAATCTGAAAGTTGGTTTTTCAGTGTACGCAACCCTGATGTGGGCCAAGATTTCGAATTAGTTATATAGTTCTAGCCCTTTGTCGCAAAGTGTTTGGTGCTCCTGTTTTTGTTCTGTTTGGTGGTTTGCCCACTACGCAGGTGTGTGTGTGTGTGTGTGTGTCGCTCTGTGTGTCGCTCTGTGTGTGTCTCGCTCTGTGTGTGTCTCGCTCTGTGTGTGTCTCGCTCTGTGTGTGTCTCGCTCTGTGTGTGTCTCGCTCTGTGTGTGTCTCGCTCTGTGTGTGTCTCGCTCTGTGTGTGTCTCGCTCTGTGTGTGTCTCGCTCTGTGTGTGTCTCGCTCTGTGTGTGTCTCGCTCTGTGTGTGTCTCGCTCTGTGTGTGTGTCTCGCTCTGTGTGTGTCTCGCTCTGTGTGTGTCTCGCTCTGTGTGTGTCTCGCTCTGTGTGTGTCTCGCTCTGTGTGTGTCTCGCTCTGTGTCTCGCTCTGTGTCTCGCTCTGTGTCTCGCTCTGTGTCTCGCTCTGTGTCTCGCTCTGCGTCTCGCTCTGTGTCTCGCTCTGTGTCTCGCTCTGTGTGTCGCTCTGTGTGTCGCTCTGTGTGTCGCTCTGTGTGTCGCTGTGTGTGTGTGTGGCGTGGCGTGGCGTGGCGTGGCGTGGCGTGGCGTGGCGTGGCGTGGCGTGGCGTGGCGTGGCGTGGCGTGGCGTGGCGTGGCGTGGCGTGGGCTGGGGTGGCGTGGCGTGGCGTGGCGTGGCGTGGCGTGGCGTGGCGTGTGCGTGTGCGTGTGCGTGTGCGTGTGCGTGTGGGTGTGGGTGTGTGTGTGTGTGTGTGCGTGTGTGTGTGTGTGTGTTTTTTTTGTTTGTGTTTGTGTTTGTGTTTGTGTTTGTGTCTGTGTGTGTGTGTGTCTGTGTCTGTGTTTGTGTCTGTGTCTGTGTCTGTGTCTGTGTCTGTGTCTGTCTGTGTCTGTGTCTGTGTCTGTGTCTGTGTCTGTGTCTGTGTCTGTGTCTGTGTCTGTGTCTGTGTCTGTGTCTGTGTCTGTGTCTGTGTCTGTGTCTGTGTGTGTGTGTGTGTCTGTGTGTGCTGTGTGTGTCTGTGTGTGTGTGTCGCTGTGTGTGTCGCTGTGTGTGTCGCTGTGTGTGTCGCTGTGTGTGTCGCTGTGTGTGTCGCTGTGTGTGTCGCTGTGTGTCGTTGTGTGTCGTTGTGTGTTGTTGTGTGTCGTGTTGCGTCGTGTTGTGTCGTGTTGTGTCGTGTGTGTGTCTGTGTGTCTGTGTGTCTGTGTGTGTCTGTGTGTGTCTGTGTGTGTCTGTCTGCGTGTGTCTGTGTGTGTCTGTGTGTGTCTGTGTGTGTCTGTGTGTGTGTGTCTGTGTGTCTGTGTGTGTGTGTGTCTGTGTGTGTCTGTGTGTGTCTGTGTCTGTGTCTGTGTGTGTCTGTGTGTGTGTGTTTGAGGGTACCCATTTGTGTTTGAGGGGGCACCAAGAGGAGAACCACCATTTGTTCGGTCCCCTAACTTTTCTGTCATATGCCCAAACCTGGTCCGGGCTCCCAACAGAAATGCTGCCTGCTTCCTTCCTCTTACTAGCAGTGTCCCTGAACAACTGGCTGACGGCTACCGCCGCCCTGCGGCTCCCTATGGGCGCACCAAAATGAAAGCCCTCTTTGGATGGTTAAACTAACCCTTACCGGAGTCTTCCCCAAACTGAGTTTTTCTGTCGGGGTGAGCTGATTATGAAACAAAATCTCCGGGGACTCTCCCTGCTTTCTTGGTGCACATTGGAATTCGACCGCTCAGACGTCCTGGCGGGACCGCCAGGTCTGCAGCCAAGGCGGGCGTGCGCGTGAGCGAGGTTCTTTTTTGTTTCGCCGCTCTGAATGCAAGTCTGCCAGCAAGTCACTGAAAAACAAGGAATTTGGACTCCACTAAATAGGGAGGGTTTTCCCAAACGCAACCTATCCTCAACAATACCCCCACACACACACACAGATACTCGAGTGGGCTCTTCAGAATCAATCCTTACTCCTGATGCCAAGTGCTTCTGGTTTCCCTTGTATGAACGGGGTGCAAAGTATCAGTTTTCAGGCCAATCTGATGTGTAAAGGGGATTTGTAGAGAATCCCCATCAAGGGTTATCCGGAGAATGTAAAGAAGGCGGTTCTCGCGGTTCGAGGTTCAAGCTGTTTTGCGGGACAACAGGGTTTCGGGCATCCCTTTTATTGGTGGTTCGGATTGGTGGTTTGGGGATTTGAACCTCTGGTTCTTGTAGAGGGTAGATGGGAACTCACTCCCTAGCCACCAAACCACCAATCCAAACCACCAATGAGAGGGAAGCTGAGGGTTGGTTGCTAGACAACACTCTGCTTTGAGCGTAGGTAAGACCCATTACTTTAGTGGTAAATGACACTGACCGGTTGCAGAACAAACCGAATTGACCAATCTTCCTGGATGTGTGGGGATGGACCAAATCCTGCACCAGCGTCACTACGCGGTCTATCCCGGTGTTAGGGGCTCATCCATCCCAAACTGCGGGACTTTGTGAGGTCGTATCCAGGTCTTGAATGGTTCTGTTTTTGTAGGCGAGGTTGCGCTTGAAAATCCACCCACCCAATAAAGGGGGGGTGTCCTTATTTCCATGGAATTCCAGTGGATGGTACTCGAACATACCTCCCAATCCCCTTTGTTCCCTTGGTTCGGGGTGGGTTTGGCTGGAAGGGTCCCGCCACGTATCATAGCTCCAGCTTGTGCCAATGATCGGCCGGTCGGGCAAGGCACAGGCGCCATTTGCACGTGGCACTCATCATAGCCAGTGCCCGAAATGGTTGTTGTCTTAGCCAATCCCAGCTGAAAAGGAGGCATCCTGCAAATGAATGCAGAACCCGTGAGCAAAGAGGACCTTTCGCCAACAGGAGATGCCGTGTCCGGCTGCTTCTGAAAGTCTGCAGTTGACTTCCGCACAAAAGCAATCATCCGCACGTGCACACGCACACACGGTCCGCCATGCCCCGCCGTGCTGCTTGAGCTCGATCAAGGCTCAGCCGCAGTCGCGGGGCTTCGCAGGTCTGTCTACATACAGTTTCTGGTTCTCAGAAATTCACCCACAAGAAAAAGGTTGATAAGGGGTTCTCTTTGGGTTAACTTCAGAATTGCCAAGCCGTCTTTGGGGGTAGAAAATGGATAGGCTGCCCTTTTCCAGCTGCGAAAAACACGTTGAGTGGGACTGAAGGGGCTGCTTTTTTTTGAGGTTCTAAATGGGAATTATGGAAAAATGGCCCTTGTTGGACTAAAAGGGGGGGTTATCAAAAATGTGCCTTGCTGGACCCTGTTGGCGCCTTGTGCCGCCTTTCAAATTTTAAGGGGAATACCAGAAAAGGATCACTTATTTTGACAACACCTGTACTATTCCCAATCTTACACTGCCGATTCACAATCTAAGCTTGAGATGAGAGCTTCCCCCCACTCCCCATCTTTCCTCCGCCCCAGGTCTATAATTCTGGTTTCCCTTTCACGCAACCCCGTAACGGCCTCACAAGAACAACACACCCGATAGGGCCCCACGGGGAGCAGCACATCTTGCAGCACCATCTACGGCTTCCAGACGCCCGAAATCCCAAAGAAGTCACCCCCAAGGAGCAGCGGCCTTGGCCATGGGGGGAACTCAGATGCAAGATCAGATGCCAACGAAGGCCTTTCTGGTGTTTCCAGGACGACGGGTGGGTTCGGCGGGGCCATGTGCCAAAGCCAGTTTGGCTGCCACGGTGCTTAGGACCAAGATGGCACCCTATACTTACTCATTTTACTCCAAATCCAAACTTTGGAGGCTTTGGGGAAACCGCTGGAAAGGGAGTCCCAAAAGTATTACCCTTCCTGCCACTAA